TGGGCTGCAACAGTAACATCATGCTCCTTCTCCATTCTCCTTTTCAACCCCATCTCAATCATCTACAGGCATGATGGAATAGTGGTCACAGATAGGGCATGGAAACCTATCCACCTTGGCTGGATCAAAGTTCCAATCATCCTGTACATGCGACTGTCCCTTCTGCCAGTAGACCTTGCCTTTCTTCTGCTTGGATGCTTTTAGTCTAATGTCCTGTTCCTCTTCTTTCATTGCCTTCTTTACTGCTATGGAAACAGTCTCAAGCTCACCTACAGCTGTGGCAGTCCTTCTGCTATCCCTTTTTTGTTGATCCCTCTCCTTTCTGATCTCCATTCCTGTAAAGAAGAAGGCAAGCAATGTAGCTGCATAGGCCTGGTTCTATTTAGTCCTGATCTTGTGCTGAGTGCTCCCAGTTGTGGTTACATCATGATACACCCTTTGCATCTCATGGGACAGGGCGTCCCCCCAGGGAAGACAGCTTTGATAAGATCCTGATTGAGCTTATCTCTAATTCTAACCAGCAAAGCTCTCTTTTCTTTCAGTGGAAGATTCTTCCTCCTGACCAGTGCAGCCTGTGCTGTCTTGAACAGAGGATGGGATGCGGCTGGTCTTGTCACTGGAGCAGGAGGTGGTGGTGGTTGCGCTGGCGCAGCTGGAGGAGTAGGGGGAGTAGGAGCAGGAACAACAACTTCCCCCTCCTGATCCAAATCAGAATCATCTGAGGAGAGTAATACATCAGCATGGCCTGCCAGAGATCTATTTAGTTCTAGGAGACCATCTCTGGCTTCTCTCTCTTGTGTATTCATCCTATCTGCTTGATTGTTGCTCATGTAGCTGTTTGTTGCCAACGTCGGAAGCAAGTTGTTGTAAAAAAAGGAGCTGACACTGAACACTCAATAAAATCTGTTACACTTGCTTGTTCGCTACGGTTCAAGGCTTGTTCAATCGACAATTGAAGAGAGCTATTGATTGATACCACTTTTATTAGAAAAGGTTGAGTGGAAGTCCTTGGAATGAAGCAATTCCCATAGTCGGTTGCTTTGAACTTGGGAGTTTTTTGAATGAATGACAAAGAACAGTTGAGACATTTGAAGTTCTTAACTTCAAATTGGTTAGAATCTCAAATTAAAACTTTTTGCTTGCTGGGCAAGACGGTGTGCAATTGTTATGAAACTCATCATAGTAATTTCTGTAGTTTTCGAAGAGAAATACATACCTATTGGTGCTATTATTGGATGTTGTACCCAGTCGTTCTTTCAATCAAAGGAAGGGTTTGGATTAAGATATTTAAAAAATTAGAGAACCTCTTTCTCAACAGTTCCTACAAGTTACTTCACAATGAAATTACCCCTAGAATTAACGATTTTTGACCCTTCACTACCTGTAACTTTGGTTGACTAGTTTTAAGCCACTACTACTAGAGGAGCATCATTTGGCTTCCCAATGAAATGGATCTATAAGAAATTATATCAACTTGGACTGGGCGATTAATCTGGTGGTCTAGAGTTGTATTTTTGTAGAGTTCTGGCCCATTTTCTGACCAGCAGCCGGTCTCCACTTGGCTGGTGGCACCTCCCTCTGAGGATGAGTCATTTTGTTTGAGTCATGACAAGCACCAGCAGCAGTACTTTTCTTCATGCTGTGTTGGAAAAGGTAAACAAAGAATCCTCCTATGGTGATAGTAAGCAAGAGTGTGTTTCTTCATCATGGAGGATGATGTGATGGTACCGTGTTCAGTTAAGTTTACTCTAGTACTTAAACCCCCAATCCCATTAAACTTTTTTCTTGTAGTAAGTTATTTGATTTATTATTAGTACTACTAGTAGTAATTCCTTCCTCCCCCTCCTCCTCCTCTTCTTCTCAACGACAGAAGTAGATTCATGCCAACTGAACAAAAATTATGGTACTGCCGGTGTGAAGTAAAATCTTCTTGTACACCATTTTCAATTTTCCACATCTGCCACCACCATTGGTAGGTTTCTTGAGCTGAACACAAATCCCAAAATGGCTGTAATTCAATTTCAATCTTGCAACAGATGGAATATGATGTTGCTTCATTATGGAATTAAGATATAGCAAACTGACAGTATGAATTGTAGTACCTATACACTAAATATGCAATATTTCATGATGTAAATTAAGATAATCACTGTGGCTTTTTGTAGCCTTGATTTGAATTTTTGAACTACAGCTCAAAGCTATGAATTTCAAATTAAAGTTCTGTGTCACTTCAGATAAAACAATAAAAAAGAGAAGAAAAATAGGTCTATGGAGCTTGGACCTCTGTAGAGTTGATACTGATGTAATTCAGTTGTTACAATATTCAGTTGTGATGTCTCACATAAAGATACTAGATATTGAACAAGTATTTTTATTTTAGTCTTCCTATAAGAAGTATCTTCATGGCGCCCCTGTTTGTTTGGGGCAGCCTACATCCATCGATATAAAAAGTTGCACCTGGTTTGGAAACTGATATCACGAGTTAAATAGTGCCGTCATGCATGCATGTGTGCCTATGTTTCTGTCTGTCTGTCTGTCTGTCTGTCTGTGTGTCTGTGTGTCTGTCTGTGTGTCTGTCTGTGTGCACTGTCTCTGTCTCTTTCTCTCTCTCTCTCTCTCTCTCT